GGAAAACTTCCCAAGTCTCTAAGGTGAATAATCAGGAATAGCACATAGTGTGGATGCTGGCTATTTGACTTGGAAATGAGGAGCTGCATGTACCTAAGATGTCCAAGGAAAACAGGGCCTGGGCCAGGTTGCATAAGCGTGTGGATGAGCCAAGAACGTTTTCCTGTAGAGCTCTTAAAGAATGGCACCTCGCTCAGATGCCACAGGCGATTCTGACCCCTGGAAAGTCCAGAGCTGAGCGAGATGGCTCCCCAAGGTAGCCTGCCACGGAGCTAGAGGTGCTCTGAAAATGGCATTCCTGGCTGTGTTGACTGAGCCTGATTCCCAGTACATAACCAGCGAGTTGTGAAATTCAGCTATCGTATGGAATCTAGGTCTGTCACATGCTTAACTGATCTCAGGAAACAAAACCCGTGTCCATGACTAATAGACACCAATGACTGAAAGGTGAAGCACAAACAAGTAGATAAACAGGGAGGGCCGATGCCAGAGCCTTGCAGATTCCCCGGGAGCTCCCCCTTGTCAGTGACCAGAGAGAGTGAGCCGGCACGGAGGGGGTCCTGCCCTGAAAGGACAGGAGACCTTGGCATGGCCCGCCCTTGGTGATGTTACATTGCATTTTCCTCCTGCCCCATCTCTTGGCCTCTCTTGTTCACCCAACTCCTGCCCCTCCTACCCGCCGGTCCCCTTTGCTCTCCTGCCCCTAATAGGGATGCCCATGGCTGCCTTCTGGGATGATCCTCAGTACTTCCCAAGGCACCGCCACCTTCTACCCCTCCCACACCTCCTTCTGGACTCATTTCATCCCGCATCGCAGGCCCATACTCTGTAACCCCTCCCCATTCAAAGTGCGCCCATCCCTCCTTCAATAGAGACCTTCGGGAGAGGCATCACAACACCTTCGCCTGAGGTACCGGCCCTCCCAAGTCCCATGTGAGTCACTGTGAGGGATGGGCTTCTTTTCCCCTCTGACATCCATCTCCTCTCCGTCCATTTTCCTCTTGCTCTGTACACGCTAGAGATATGAAACAGATAGTCCTCGTGCCTGGGGCCAGCCCTCCTGTAGAGGTGATTAAGCCACTAGGCTTGCCCATTTCAAGGACAACACATGTTTCCTTCAGCTGCAGGTCCTGTCCCCACCACTCAGGTTCTCTGTATCTCCCTCTGTCACCCCTCCAAGGTCTCTGACACCTACCTACTGTGTAGCTCAAGCCCAGGGAGAAGATGCCAGGCCGCCCTGATGGGTTCTGGAAGATTATCTCATCCCTGCTCCATGCTGCCCATCTGATTCTGATTTCAGTTCTGGACAATTTGCACAGTCTCCCCTGCTGAGCTCACCCTGTCCACATTACGCACACTCTCCTCCACTCGCAGATTCGGTGCCACCAGGCTGGCCTGCTGACAAGCCCTCCTGGCTTTATTGCAGTCTAGCGGCTTTACCTAAATATCTCCTGATAGAATCTGACCCTGGCCATGGCTTCCCACTTCTCCAGTCAACCCACACCGTGGACGCATCACGCTGGGACCTGCACTTGAGTCTGACTCTGCTCTTAACTAGTTGGCTGACTCTGGCAAGTCACCTCTGTGAACTACGGTTTCCTCATCTGTGCAATCAGGATAATAATACCCCGTTCCAAGGATCAAATGAGCAAATGGACGTGAAGGTGCTGTAAACTGTAAAGCAGCATCCCAAGCCGGGTTCTGTGGAACTCTGCTTCAGGAGAAAATCTATGTTGGGTTTGAGGAGGGGTGACCTAAGCAACATGAACTGGGTTTCCTGGCTCTAGGATGTCTCAGAGCCTTTAATTTGCCAACGTGCATAGCAAATGCAGGCAAGGCACAGGGTACACAATAAAGCTTTATCTCAAAACCACTTTTTTCATAGACTACTTATTCACATATTTTAAGTTACTATTTTCTACAGATCAAAGCATTTATTAATAGTATGCCTCCTACAAATAATAATGCTAATCTTTCCACAAAATTAATTCCATCATCCAGGTCTCTGGCCCTGAGTAACACCAGTCAGTCTGTTTCTTAAAAAGTATTATCGGCACCCTTCCATCTTCTCAGCTTTGTGCTGTGGACTGTGGGGGACAGGGGCCTGCTTTGGAAGGCTCCACAGTTGGACTCCACTCTGGCCTCCCACCATCCTCACGCTGGACTCTGCCCCAGGCAGCGTGGGGAACCCATTGTCCTGTGTACACATCCTTCCTGTTCCTGACCCCTGCTTTCGTCCCATCTTTCTTCCTGACAAGGTGCCTGTCTCCCATCTCTACCAACATGATTGTGACTCAGTCTTCAAGTCTCAGCCAAGCCCTCACTTCTCCATGCAAGTTTGTCTAACCAATGCAGACTGTCCCGGCAGGAAGACTGGCTCCCAATGCAACTGGAAACCCCTAGAGGCAGGGAGCATTAGATAAACTTCCTGTTTTCTCCCCCAACCAGGATTTGTATGATTGCCCTAAACCAAGGCAAACTTTTTGACTCGAGGGTCACAATGGGTTCTTAAACTGGACCGGAGGGCTGGAACAAAAGCATGGATGGAGTGTTTGTGTGAACTAATAAAAATTCAAAGTAAACATCCTATCTAATAAAAGAGAAACATGGTAATTGGCGTACGACCGCTACCCTTCCCATTGGCTAATCAGGGCAATATGCAAATTAACTGTCAGCCAAGATGGCAGCCAGCAGCCAGGCAGCTTGAAACTAACATGAGGCTTGCTTGCTTGCTTTAGTGACGGAGGACTCCAACGTTCCCCACCTGCCCCTGCAGGCCTCTGAGCTGCAAGTAACTATGTAACAAACATAGAAGCTAAACAAAACCCCAGAAACCTGCCGGGCTTCAGCCAGCAGGATCGCAACATTGTAAGCAAAGGCCAGAAACCTACTTTCAGCAGTGGAGGCCTAAGAGCTGGAGCCAAGCCTCAAAGCTAAAGCTGGCCCAGAATAAAAAAAAAAAAGAAAGAAAGAAAAAAAGGAGCAGTTGGGAGCTTCAGTCACCCCCAGCCTGAAAACAGCCTTCAGCTCCTCACCCAGACTGGCCAGGCACCCCAGTGGGAACCCCCACCCTGAAGGGTGTGTGACCAGCTGCAAACAGCCATCATCCCCTCACCCAGGCTGGCCAGGCACCCCAGTGGGGACCCCCACCCTGAAGGATGTGTGACCAGCTACAAACAGCCATCATTCCCTCACCCAGGCTGGCCAGGCACCCCAGTGGGGACCCCCACCCTGATCCAGGACACCCTTCAGGGCAAACCAGCCGGCACCCACCCATGCACCAGTCCTCTACCCTATATAGTAAAAGGGTAATATGCCTCCCAGCACCGGGATCAGTGGAGCCACGAGGCCTCCCGGCACCAGGATCAGCGTGACAGGGGGCAGCGCCCAAACCCCCTGATCGCCCTGCGGCTCTGTGTGTGACAGGGTGCGGCACCCCAACCCCCTGATCGGCCCTGCTCTGTGTGTGTGACAGGGTGTGGCGCCCCAACCCCCACCCCCCCCCCCACGGGCCCTGCTCTGTGTGTGATGGGGTAGAGCCATAACCTCCCCATCGGCCCTGCCCTGAGTGTGAGAGTGGTGGCACCCCAACCCCCTGATCGGCCCTGCTCTGTGGGTGATAGAGGGCGGTGCCCCAACCCCCTGATGGGCCCTGCTCTGTGCGTGACAGGGGGCTGCCCCCCAACCCCCTGATTGGCCCTGCTTTGTGCGTGACAGGGTACAGAGCCCCAACCCCCCAGATGGGCGCTGCTCTGTGAGTGACAGGGGGTGGCGCCGCAACCTCCCCATTGACCCTGCCTTGAGTGTGACAGGGGATGGTGCCCCAAACCCCCAATTGGCCCTACCCGTAGCGTGACTGAGGGTGGAATCACAACCTCCCGATCGCCCTGCTCTGTGTATGACGGGGCGGTGCCCCAACTCCCCAATCGGCCCTGCTCTGACCCCGACCAGGGGCTGCACCTAGGGATTGGGCCTGCCCTCTGCCACCTGGGAGCAGGCCTAAGCCAGCAGGTTGTCATCTCCCGAGGGGTCCCCAGACTGCGAGAGGGCACAGGCCGGGCTGAGGGCGCCCCTCCCCCCCGAGTGCACAAATTTTTGTGCACCGGGCCTCTAGTCATTACATAAAAGGGTACGGTCTTTTTTTTTCAATAGTTTTATTCATTTCAAACGGGCCAGATCCGGCCCGCGGGCCGTAGTTTGCCCACGGTTGCCCTAAACCCTGCTTTGGGAGCTTGAACCTCCAATGGCGGGGATGGGAGGGAGGGGTCCTTCTGAACTGGGTGGGTTTATTTGCACCATCAGTTATTCAGTACACGTTTATCATTGGGAACCCAAGGTTGAGTAAGATAAGGCCCCTGCCTTTAAGAAGCTCTTGGTCGAGACAAAAACATAAACAATTCATTTCGAGCTAGAGTGCTGAGTGTAACAATAGAAATAATATGGGAGCACAAGATAGGGTTCATGGTGAGAGCAGCTTAGGACCAAGGCAGGATTCCCAGAAGACATTCCCACCCCTGTCCATGGCAAGGTTATGGGGGTCTACCTATAGGGGAGAAAGAGCACTGGAAACTTTGTGGGAGGGGATTGAGTTTGTTACCATGGTTACAGAGAAGGAGCTCTCAATGAAGCCAGAGGGTTAGGGCAGGCGCTGGAAGGGGGAGTGTGAGATGGGAACTATGCATCCCACTCTCCCAAACACACACGCGCGCACACATGCACACACACAGTCTGTGGGAATCCCACTTCCCTGCTTTTCCATCGTACCCTCTCACTCCTTCTTCCTTCTCACCTGGATCCATTTTTTTTCCTTTCCAAGTCCTCTGTTGCCTTCTGGTCCTGGGGCCATCCATCGTGACCTCATTGGAACAGCTCTGTGTCTGCTCTCAGTAGCTAGTGGCCTGCTTTGGCGAGAGGCTGGTCAGCGCGATGCCCACTCCCTGTGGGGGGGCCTGGGGAGGAAGGTCAGCCTGGAGTCAGTGCTTTCTCTTTTCTTCTCACAGAAAACCAAAAGAGACGTCAATAACTTTGACCAAGACTTTACCCGGGAAGAGCCAGTACTCACGCTTGTGGATGAAGCAATTGTGAAGCAGATCAACCAGGAGGAATTCAAAGGTTTCTCCTACTTTGGTGAAGACCTAATGCCCTGAGCGGGCCCCCCCCCGCCCCCCCAGGTGGAGTTTGGTGATGCTACAAGAAGGGGTGCCGTGAAGATGGCTGTTTTCCAGAGGCTCACAAGGTCTTGAACTACTTCTCCTCCCCGGAGCCCCAATCCCTGTCCACTCTATTTATTGCATTCCCTTAGCCCAGGCCAGCTCCTGCCTCCTCCTGCCTGGTGACCAGAAGGCACTCTTGGCTCTCAGCGCACCGGGAAAGCAGCACCGTGTTGGGCCGGCCATTAGCTGGACACGTCGCTGTGTTTGGTCTGTTGGGGAGCCTGTTTCTACTTCTCAGGGGCTCCTGGCAGTGAAGCGACTGCAGTTCTTTCACTGCAAAGGAAAATGTAAAAGGCAAACAAGAAGACTCGGGCTCTGCAATTGAACGTAGAATTCCAACAACTCTTGCTTCTCATCCCCCCAGTCCGCCCCCGCCTGCCATCCTCTGCCCTTCTGTGCGGGGGGGAAGAGACTGCTTCTTCAGCCTGAGGGGGGCGCCCTGAGGTGCCTGTGAAGGAGAGAGACTGGGCGATGCGCAGGTTGGCTGCCTGTGGTGGTGTGTCTGGAATGGCTAATTCCTGCTTGCTTTGGTGTTGGCTTGGGGGCATGCCAAAGTTGTGGAAGCATGTATCTTGTGGAAGAAATTACTCTTTTTGAAAAAGAAAATTTGATTTTGCACTCTCTTAACGTTTGGAAAAGATATCCTCAAATTTGCTAATTGGCCAACAGATACAGATTCCAGTGTTAATACAGGTTGATATTAAAGGGCTAATATGCAACGAGAAACCAGTCGTCCAAGGTTTATACTCCTAATGCATTGGTGGCGCACGGGGGCTGTACGAATTGAGAGAAAAGGAAACAAGCGTGGTCCTCGTTATTAACATTCTGCCTGAATACGAAGGCCACCACCCTGATGGCCACGACCCTGGGGTTCTCGCAAAACTCAGCTCCCAAATTCTCTTTCCACTTTCGTCCTGAGTTCCCAGCATAAACTCTATTTATTTCCTGCAGCAGTGTGTTATTTTTGCGCACTTCTACAAAATGGTAGTACTACTGTGTTGTGGTTTTTAAACATTAAACATGTCAAGTTGAATATGAAATACCTGCTTTCGGAACAAGCAGAATGAGGTTAAACATGAGCCCTGCAGAGCGTGTCAAGAGCCTGAAAAGCAACTTGCCTGGAAACTGACAGTGTGGCCGGCCGGACTGGGAGGCTTGTTCCTGTGTGACGCGGAAAGGCAACTCATGTGGACACTACTTAATGGATGCGATGTTACCTCCTGTAGATATGCTAACAGTGTTACGTTCTTTTATTCCCAAGGGTTCTCTGTGGCTTTGTGTATATGTTTCCCGGAGGTCATTTGATTATCTATTTTGCTGAACTGATTTAGCAGGGAATGGAATCCATTCCAACTGTTGCACGTGGATTTCCCAGCTGCCCCTTAATATATATACTTGTGAGTGGCAAAGTGGCACCCACGAAGCTTTTTGCCTTTTGTACATTTGAGATTTTTGTATATAGTGTTTGCTGCAAGGCCTGTGGAATTAATTCATTGAATTTAGAGGTATCAACTGCTGCATGTTCAGGCATATTATAAAACTTTAGTCTATGAAAGAATAATTCTAATAACGTCCAGGTGCAATACTCTGTATGTGTATTGGTTCAAGTTACCGAGAGATAAGTTGTGTTTGTTTCTTGCGGGGGGGGGGGAGGGGGGGGGCGGTCAGGGAGCTCCTGTGTATTGTTTATTTCATTTTGGGTTTGTTTTAAAAGATGTAAACATATATTAAGCTATATTAAATCTCACATATAGTTCTCCTGGGCTCTATTCTGCCCTGATAGAGATGGGGAAGAGAAAGGAATGTTTTTGGATGGTGGTGTCAAAGCCTGGACAGTGACCAGCTCGAGCCCATAGGGAGTTGCTGTCCGTATTTGCACCTGGCAGGTCACGGCCCTTGTTACTAATGGTGACGTTTAGTTCTCTTTTGTTTTTATTTTTTAAAAACTCAGGTGTAATTATTATCTGTTCTTATGATAATTTCAAATACTATGCTCTATCAGTTTGTGTGTTTGGCACACCAGCGAAGTGATGAAGAACAGTGGATTAATTTAATTTATCTTCGGTAACTTGACGTGCTGGGGAGAGACTATCTTTTGGAGTTGAGTACAAGCACAGCAACATCTTCATGGTGGCATCATCTCATTTTTTTAGGAAGACATGACAATACTGCCCATCATACTCATGCCTCACTACTGCTCTCTCTTTTTCCTCTGCTTCCCTGGCCATGAGAAACTTTGAACAACCAGGCCAGCTCCAACTGCAATGCCAAATGGCCTTGTCCAAGGGCGTGGTGGTGGTCCCATGTCGGCGGGGGTTGGACCCTTTCAACAGGACAACTGGCATTTTTGCTGGGAAGTCAGATAAGAATACATGCCACCCAGCAGCTCCAGGCAGTCAGTCAATAGGTTGCCTGGCCCAGTGACGACCCCGTCAGTACCCGAAGCGCCATGCTTGCTGGGACGCCTCCTCCTTGGGGCTGGAGCTGGTCAAGCTCTCACACTGGCAGATTCAAATCCCATGTTGTCTATAGGAAAAGGCTTGTGTGTTCCTTGAGTGTTCATTGCTTCATTGTAGTTTTCACAAGCGTTTGGAAGCAGCACACTGTTACATTTCTGCTGATTCTAATCTTCCCAGCTCTCTCTGAAAAGAAAAGTGGAGTGTAAAAAAGCCAAAACACATAGGAAGGGTATCTGTCCCCCGTGTTCTCTCACGATGGAAGTGAGAAACCTTGTGGAGTGGAAACATAACTTTTTCCTCCAAAGGTGAAAAAAATCAGTGCATTCTTGCTTTAAGGAAAAACAGAAGAAAGCTAAACAAGAAATTACCTCTTTTTAAATTATGTGCAAAATAATTCTGGCTAAATAGAAAATGTATTCAATTTTAAGGATTTTCTTTTTTTTTTTTTTTTTTTTGTATTGTGATGCTTTAATTTGTACATTTTTCCCCCTTTCTGGATGTAATTTTAATCTCTTGCCATTCATTAGTGTTATTTCATTGTAAACATTATTGTGCCAAATGTACTGTATTCAAAAGGATGTGAATGTGTATGTTTTCCGAACCTAATAAATACAATGATGTTAAATCTTATTTCTCAGTCTCAGTGAACATTTTTGTCTCCCCTGTGAGTGGCAAGGTGTCACCAGTGGAAACCTAGACATAGTTTCCACTTTCTCCTTGTCCTTTGGCGATGCACAAAGGAGGCCAGCAACCTGATTTGCACACTCCCCTTGCCCACCTCAGCCTCGCCTCTGCTCTGGGACTGCCGGTCAGAGGGATGAAGGGGCCTGCGTGGGCTGGATGTGGCGCTGGCTGCCTCAGAAGGAGCTGCTTGGGACACGGGCAAGCAAAGCAGGCAGCACCCTGGTTCTGTCTTCTCCAGAACCAGTGCTGGACCTCCTTGCAACCGATGCTCAGTCAAGCCTCTTCAGGACTCGGTCTCTGACCTGCTACTCAGAACCTGGCGCCCAAGAAACTCCTCCCAGGCTGAGAGCCCCTTGCAGGCTGGGCGGGGAGTGCAGACTGGCCCGTGGGGTTTCATGCTAAGCTACTGTCACCTCCCCTCTCAGCCACCTGAGTTCCTCCTTCACTCTGGGACCCCTCCCTCCCTCCCTCCCTCCCTCATGTTGTGCTGGCTCTCCAAGGCTCCTCCTCCTCTTCTTTCTCCAGCACGGATTTTTCAAGAACATTTGAAACTCAAAGGCATACTTGAGTTCACCAGAAATTTCAAGGAACCAAAACTCCCTGTTCTGTAAGAGTGTGGGAATGATTGCAGTTTTACTATGTGTCATTCTCAGAGGACGGGATGACCCAACTTGTCAGCCCACAAAGTCACTGCTTCATACGCCTGCCGCTGGCTTTGGCATGTATATCATCCTGCAGGTGCTTTCCTCTCACAGTCTTCCCCTCCCAGCAGCGTGGCCTGGCTCCCTCAAGACGTGAGCATGGACCTCAGACCCACCTCACGAAGAAGGTTGTGCTTATCACAGAGTTTAATACACCTCTTTGATCGGGCGGCTGTTTCTAGGGAAGTGACCACCCCAGAAGAAGCAAGCTTCCCATCAGTGTGTCTGTCTTACCACAAATTTATGTGAAAGTCAGGGGAGACAAATTAAAAGGAGCTGTTCTGACAAGGCCAGAAGACGGTTCCGGGCATTTCACCGAGTGAAAAATGACCCGTCTCCACCTCTCTCGCCCAGTGGCCCAGAGACCCGCTCCAAAGTCCTGGCGACGCGAGAACTCGTCCTCCCAAATCCATGTGCTCCACGAATCACACCGAAGCTATAAGAAAGGCCAATTGCTCATTAGCATCCCTGGTTTGGACTTTCTCCCCCGGCCTCAACCACGTCCCAGGCACTGGCAGGTCTGTTCCAGGGAAGCCCTGACCACGGGTCCCTGGCAAGGGTTAGATGCTGCTTTAAGAAAGCCTGTCTGTGTGGCTGTGCCCTGAACTGAGAAACAGCAGAGGGAATCTGTGGGAAGAATGCCCCTTCTCTATGTCCTTGCACCCGAGGACAGTCCCGTACGTGGCTTACCAGCACCTGAAGTTCTCATGCAATAAAATAACAGGAGGCATGTGCTGCCCTGGCGCTTACCGTGGCAAAGAGGTAGATTGGAAAGAAGGCTTAGAAGCCACATTATGCATTCTGTTTTTCAGTGTAAAGCACTTTAGCCTAGATTAGTGATGGCGAACCTATGACATGCGTGTCAGAGGTGACAGGCGAACTCATTTTTTTGGTCGATTTTTCTTTGTTAAATGGCATTTAAATATATAAAATAAATATCAAAAATATAAGTCTTTGTTTTATTCTGGTTGCAAATATCAAAAAATTTCTATATGTGACACGGCACCAGAGTTAAGTTAGGGTTTTTCAAAATGCTGACACGCCAAGCTCAAAAGGTTCGCCATCACTGGCCTAGATAATGGTACTACCTTCGTGGTATGTTAGTTTTAAGCTAAACCTAAAGGGTGACCAGCGGTGGTGATCAGGAGTACGGCCTCCAGGAATGGACAGCTGGTTGAATAAATAGCATTTATTCAGAAGGCAAGAGCTTCAGCTCTTTGATATCCCATCAGCACTTGCAGGGAGGGGGTGTTATTAGCATAAATAATTCTAGGAAAGGAGTTCCTCAAGGAAAGTGGCCTGGCATGTTCATTAGCATAAAGGAAGTCAGAAAGGTGATAGGAATGGTGCTTGAGATGAGTAGATTGGCAACGATATTTTAATCACATTTAAAAACACACAGGCTATGAGAACTTCAACTTCCCTACTAATCAGGGAAATGAAAATTTAAATCAAACCTCATTACCATATCACAGCCACCAGAAGGACTCCATAAAAAGGCAGACACAGCAAGTTTGGAGCCATCAGAACTTTCAGTGTTTCTGGTTGGAGTATAAAATGGTGCAACCACTTTGAAAAACTTGGGCAGTGTCTACTATAGTCAAATGTGCAGACCCTGGACTCAGCCGAAAATTCCATCAGCGGCAGAATAGGCAAATGTGGACTCTTTCTGCGAGAGAGCCCATGTTGCGGTGAGAATGAATGATTTCCAGTTACACACAACGACAGGTGAATCTCACAATGTGAGGATGAGTTGAAGAATCCAGGCACAATGGGGAACAGACTAATTCCAGTTACACAAAGTGTAAAAACAGGCCGTCTATGCTGCCTGAAACAGGCCAGTGGTTGCCCTTTTGGGGGTGGAGAGGTGGTGATTAGGCGTGGGCACCAAAGGACTTCTGGGGTGCGGGTTTGGTTTTCTGAGCTGGGACCTAGCAAAAAGGTATGCTCACTTTGCGATCGTTCATTGAGCTGTACCCTTAGGATCTGTGCACTTGTCAATAAAAAATTACTCGAAAAAACCTTGGGGGTGGCACCTAGGCCGGATCTGCAAACTGCCTGTCTCTTTGCTGTCTTGGGGGCATCTTGGTTGCCTGACTCCCACAAACAGTCTGATCCTGGGGCTGGAACAGGATGACATTTGCCTTGAGGACCTTTCCTGTGAGGCACTGTCATAAACACCAAACCGACTACAGCGGGAACGTCGTGGACCTTTCAGAATTGCCCTCAGCCTCTTCTACGCCTGCTCGCTAATGAAATGTCTGTGTATGTAGCAGAATGTGGTTGGTGAGGTGGTTAGGGAGTAGCCAAGTCTCCCCTCTCACAGCCACTGAGATCTACCAAAGAGAAGCCACAAACTTGGCTTGGAGAGTCCGCAGCAGGCGAGGCTTGGCGTCAGCTCCTTCACCGTGGGCAGGTCACTGCACCTTGCTCAACCTGTTGCCACACTTGAAAAATGGTGGTAGTAAGAGCTACCACTTCCAAGGCCCGTTGTGCAATCTCAGTGCGATGAAGCTTCCACAGCAGCGTCTTGTACTGTTGCTATTATTTCTCATCCCTGAGTGAAATCATAGCCTGAATCACGGGGAAGGGGTGTTGGGCCACCTGACACCCTCATCCCACCAGTGAAGGCCATCTGTGGGGCAGAAGGAAGCACAAACAGCAAAGACCAGCTCCAGGTCCTCAGGGCACTTAAAACCAGCAGGATATGAGTCAGGTTCGATGCAAAACAGCAGTATAAGACAGGCAAGAGAATGCAAAGGGAGCCCTGCAGATGATGCCAGGGAAGTCAAAGGGGATTAGGTTTGTGTTATCCTGGCAGCCTTCCTGGAGGAGTTATCAGTGAGAGGGGACTGAAGGATGAGGTGAATATGGGCAAAGGGCAGAGAAGGGCCTTCTCAGGTACACATGCTGTGGCAGGGCTGAGGGGTTTGGGTCCCAAGTCCCAGAGCAGGGTTGCAGTGGCCTTCACTATCATTTCTCAACATGAGATTGTCAAGGCCATGGCAATCCTTCAAAGTGGTTTGATGGTGTCTCTAAGAGAGCCCAGCACAGACCTTCGATGAAGGCACCCTGTGTGTATGGGGCGGGAGAGCTCATTTCACTGCCCGCTCTTACCCAATGGGTCAGGTAGATGCTGCCTGAGGGTTGAAATCAAGCCAGCCTCAGTCTTCAACCCATCAGGTCAACAATTACCAGCCACACTCCTCTCAGGCCTCTGCTCAGTGGAGCCGGCAGCTCCATTGGCTGCTTAGAGAGGCTCTGCAAAGGTCCCCTCCTGGGCACCATCAAGGAATTCCATCCATGCTCCCTTTGTTAGGTTGTTAACCATTTCACATTTATTATCTTCCTTATTCCAGACATTGTGCTAAGCACTTCACATAGGTCATTTTTTAAACCTCACAAAAATCACATGAAGTGGGTAGAATCCCATTTTATAGATGAGGAAATGGAGGTTCAGAAATTATAGAATGTATTTAGTCCTTACAACCCCATGGAAGTGTTGTATTCTGATGCCCACTCTATGGATAAGAAAATGAAATTGTTCCAATGCTCAGACCCAATGACAGTTCAGGTCCGGAAAGGACAGAAAGAGAACACAAAACTATTCATTCTCTCATTTATTCCACAAATTTATTCCACAGATGTTCATAGAGTTCCTACTATGTGCCAGCCATTCATATGGACATCCATAAACAAATCTGACAAAAATCTGTGCTGTAACAGCACTTCCTCGGGGGGAAGGATGTTGACAAATAATAAGAGTAAATACGACCATTAAGTGAATCATATGCTGTGTTAGAAGATCCAGGCCACC